ATTTAACCACATCTTAGCCTTATCCCTAAGTGAAAAAGGAAAAAAGTCTAAGTCTAACAACATCGTTCAAAACTCTGTCATATTTAAAGGTAGCATAAAGTTCTAAAAAACTAGCAAGGTGTAAATTAGGATCTTCATTTGGTATACTTCCGAATTGATTGTTTTGTACAATTTGGATAATAGCAGGTTTGAGCTCAAATGAATTAACACCTACATCAGGATTTTAGATAGATAAGTGAATTGCATAATCTCGTAAAGGTCTAGGTTGATGTTCATTTTCTATTCCTTGATTGTTCACATTATTTTCCATTGTGTCAGGATTTCTAGGTTCTTTTCTTAGTTTTCTAATTCTCCTAACAGTGCGTTCTAATTCTGAATTGTAGGCTATAAGATTTTCAGGTCCAAATTTACACATACAATTGAAATGAGTACATAGAAAAATAGTTAACTAAATATTAAAATAAGTTGTAATTCAAGTAAAAGTTTTCTAATAGTCCTAATTTGTCTGTTACTCTAATTATGATTTTTTTTAAATCTAATTTTTACTCCCCAGTAACGGCGCTAAGAACTTGACAGCGACTTTGTATATGCTTAAAAATACAAGAATTTGATACTGCTGCTAGAAGATTTAAATCCCCGAAAATAGTGCCAAAAACTTGACTACAGTTATATATTTGATAAATATGTGTAAAAAATATTCAATAATTGCAAAGTCACACTTATCAACGCAAGTATATGTATCGCTCAAGTAATAGAGAGGTCTAATGGAGTCTTGGATATCGATCCCACTGGAAGTAATATTAGAGGTTACGAATTATGATTTAAAAAATTAATACTTAATCACAACAATATAGTTCAAATTGCATATTTGTAACTAATAGGCAATTGAAATAAAAATGAAATTTTAATAAACTTCTAATTAACTAATTCTACTGATAAAGTCTCTAATGTGAATGAATCAGTTCAAATTGTATTGTGTCAAATAAGAGCATACCTATTCTTTACCCTTTGGACAAGGCATAAAGAGCATTGCTAATCCTATACTTGGTTATTGAATCTGCAGCTAGGCTGGGAGGATACCAGCTCTCACTTCGGAGCTCCCACAATCCCCTCGCCTGAGGGCTAACATCTACACTTCAGCACCTAAACGATATGACCGAATTGAGGATTTTAGCCTGTCACTCTAAAATCTCCAATTCTACGCCCGATAATTTTTATTTCCCCATTTATTTCCACCCAACTTTTAAGGACTTTGACCTCCCTAAAGCTTGGATGTAATCTCACTTTAGTTGTAAAACTCAACATATTTTAATAAATTAATTAACCAGATTGAAAGTAAATTAAGATTGAAGTGAAAAGTTCATCACAACTTCTTTAACATTCTCATAGCACAACAAATTCAAGTCACCATTTCACAAAATCTCAAGCCAAGGAGAAAGACAGAGAAAACTATTCAGAACTCATGGAGAAGATACGACAAAAATTGGAATTTATATATAAAAGCAAAGTCATACAAAATTCAATAAGTAAATACCACTTATCTCTAATTCCTCCCCAAGCAAACTCCTCGAAGTTCCTCTGAATCTCTTCATTTTTTTACAGCACACAGAATTCTCCTTCGAAGCGGCAAGGAGGAAGAAATCTCTTATTTTCCTTCCACTTTACAATCTCTCGAAGAATTCCTCACAATACTAACCCTAAATTACACTCTCTACACTCTAATGGACACACGTGGACACCCATGGACACCCACCATTTTCGGCCTCCAAATGTTTCTTTTAAAGTTATAGAAGAGTATTTAAGATCTGCTCAAGCGTCCCTTCAAAAATCGTCCACATTCAATGCATCTATTGAGAGAACCGACGTGCTCGTCGTCGCCGGCCTCGATGGAGCCATTGGTGGCCTTCTAGAATATTTAATTCTGAACTCTTGACAAAAACCCTCCGTCGGCGGCGTCGAGCCTGGTGTCGAGGCCCAAGATCAAATCTTCATATTTTGATCCTTTTTGCTCTAAATTCGCTCCTTTTTGCATCTTTTTGCTCCAATAATCATAATTCAACATACCTACAACAAAACATCAAAAGTACCTTTCTTTAAAGTAAAATATCATCAAAATTAGTGTAAAGTAGGTATGAAAATCTCAACATATTTTCCTTTGGTCATATAGGCAGCGCAATCACATTGAAAACTGCCCGCCAACACATCCACTCCGCATGGGGGATTGAACCCACGCATCTAGACTAAACTAATCCTAGGGCCGGCTAATGAATTTAGGAAATCTCATCACTGTGATGGTTACAGACGTGTGTCTTTATGTAGAAAGAAGCTCTCCTAATGGTAGGAGAGAACCCCACATTTCTGGTAAACTCTTGCGACGCTCTGATAAAGTTCTGATGATCCTTCCCCGAGCTAGGTTGAACTCTCCTCCGACATAGGAGAGTGGAACCTTAATCCCATGCTCATCCTTAAGAAAATCCTCTCACATTATCACAAAATGTGAAAGAAGATGAAGAAGATGAGGAGGAAAGAAAATGGAAGGAGGAGGAAAAAGAAGAAGATGAAGGAGGGGAAGAGAAACCCCTCCTTTTTGGTTTCTCTCGAAGAATCCCCTCCAAAATACCTCCAAAGACTCTGAAAGACCTGCAAATGCCCTCTTCTAGAGCTTCCCTCCAATCCCTAGCTAAAGAAGCTAAGGAAAAAGAATGAGGTGGAGTGGAACCCCCCGCCCCCCACCCCC